TCGGCCCGGCGCTGCCCGCCAGGGGGCGACGCCACGCGGGGTCCGCAGCCGGCGACCCGCAGGGAAGAGGAGGCACGGACCGTAGGGGAGCCAGCCGGGCACCCACGGAACTCCTCCGGCCCCGAGAATCTCCCGAGTCCACCTTCCGAGGAGTTCGGAAACGAGAGTCCCGCGTTTGCTATGTTGCCCTTTGGAGACAAAACGAGGTACTTCCTTCAACATCCCGCTGGCCACTTTGACTGGGGAGGGGTGTGGGAGTCGCCAGGGTTGGAGGTGGCACTCAGCACACCTGCGGGAGATTTAGCCGCGTAGTAAATGGGCGGTGTGATTTTGTGTCTCTTCTTGCTTTCTCTCCGAGATATTGTTTGGGGTCAGTTTTCTCTTTTCCCACCCAGTAGTCACTCCTGGACAGTTTGGACGTTTTGCTTGTGAGCCTAACTTTTAATCCCTGAGCCATCCTCTCCCGGAGAACCCAGATAAGCTCTGAGTACCCACCCCTCCTTTTACCCCTTTCATCCCCCACCCCTCCGATAGTGCCTTCTTCCTTCAATCTCTGAGTTTAGAGCGATCAGATGATACCTCCGAAGGGAGAGCGGTTTCTTTTTAAAACGTTACTGGGTATTTGAGCAGAGGCACCAAGATAGACAGACCATCTCGAGCTAGAATTATCGATTGCTGTGAACCAACAGTTTCCAAGGGTCACTAGCGTCTCTGAGACCATCTGTCCCCGGTGTCCTGTCTCTGCACATTCTCACCCTCTGCTCCCTTTGAATTAGAGCACAGGAAATGGGGAGGGGCTAGAGAGCAGGGCTGAGTTTTAAAGAATGCCTTGGAGGTGTCCTTTAGATAGTTTGTTAATAGATGAAAGAATAAGGCAGCTTGTCTAAAAACACCGCAGAAACGTCCCATTCTTTGTTTCCCCTCTCCACTTTGAGGACAAACTTTGGACGATTTACTTGCAGGTTTTTGACTAGTCCTAGGAGAGAACATTCTCAAAGCTGCCAAAAACCTCGAAAATGCAGCAACATTGTATTTGAAAGTCTGAACAGTCGTTCGATACATTTGCTATTCCTTTTTTTCCTCTCAAGTAGAATACAATTAAAATCTCAATTACAATGCTAACTGTAAAATTTAGATAGTCGGAGACTCCAAGGTTTCCAGTTAGGGCATTGTTTGATTCTCTCTCTCTGAGTAAAACTTGGAAAATGAAATGACAGTGTAAAATATTTAAAGGCCTTCATTTGGAGAAGTTGAGAAAGTTATTAGCATAAAGAATAATACTCTAGGGATTTTTGTGCAGCCCTTGGTCGCTCTTCGTGGAATTCAAGTTTGACTTTTTGCTGGCCATATTAGCTGAAGGCTTTAACATAAGAATAGGAAGCTGAACACCGCTTGATTATCCTTTTTTTTTTTTTAAGACTACAAGGGTTAGTGTGGTTCACGTTGTTGAGATAAAAATTTATTGTGTCCATTTTAACTTTGCAGCAGAGTTCTTTTTAAACTAGAGCCTGTGTCATTTTGTTGTGCTTTGTAAATATAAAAAAAGTATGTGCATATGTAAAAAGTGTATGTGATTCTACAGAGAGACATGTGGCGTGTTGAAAAGGTTAAAATGAATTTAGATTCATTTAGAATGCCCATCTGCAGCAGAAATCGGGCTTATTGATAGAAATGTTTGTGCATTTATTAATCGTTGTCACGTGACACACATGCATGATATACCCTCCTTTTGCCAGGCCCAGTTGTCTGCATCGAGCATAGTCCCAGAACATAATGAAACTCCTGGTGCTCTGAGTTTTCATACACCTCTTAATCTGGCTTGGCCTTGATGGCAGTGTGGCTGTCGAGTTGTTTTTTTCCTCAAAACTATCTTCAAATACATAGCCACATTCTGTATTAATGGCTATATTCTCCAGCAAAGGAATGGATGAACGCTTCTTAATGGTCACAAACTATTTACATGAATTGGAGTGTGAAAACTGAACAAGTTGAACAAGGTGTAACTTAGTCTATTAGCATGAAAATTCACTTTGTTTTTCTAGTAAACTCCGAGTGCACCCACCTCCCACCCTCACTATCCTAAACAACTGGGAATCCTTCAGGACTGAGTTAATTGGAGACTTTAATGTGTAGCCATTTACAAAGACAGCCTTCTGGGTGCTAAAGCCTCTCGGCAGCTGCTATTATTCTTGACAGCATATTGGAATAGTGTTACCTTTCATTAGTTACTAATCGGGTCTGTGGCTGCGGGTGATGCTTTAAGTCCTTTAGTACTGAAGGGATGAGATGGTTACGTTTTATTGTTTGTTTGCCAGGCCAGAGCCTGAGAATATTTGGCATACAGTGGAAACAGGAGATTTAAGTGAGGACAAGTTTTATGGCAGGTTGGATCAAAGTCCAGAAACAGAAGTTTTACAGGTCCTCGCGGCCTCCTGGGACACACTTGACACCACAGAGCGGGCTGAGGTAGTTGAGTCCCCAGGTCCTGCTGTTGGGTTTCTTCGTCCTTCTCTCCTTGACATTTTTGTATTTATTTTTCTTGGTGCAGTTGTGGGAATTAACTATGGTCTTCCGCATGCAAGGCAAGGGCTCTGCCAATTGAGCCATCTCATACCCAGCACTCAAAAATTTTGAGGTAAGGGTCTCGTTAAGTCGTCCCATGGTTTTGAACTCACTGTGTAGCTCAGGCTGAATCTATCTCAGCTTTCCAAATACTTCAATAGTTGGTATGATCACGGACCACGATGCCTGGTTCCTGTTTCATTTCTAAAAGATGTCACATTTTTATTTGTAAGGTACATACGTTAAACTTATATGGAGGCTATAAAATAAGTATTGCTATCCATTCTTAAAACTCACTCTTTCCGCAGTTAGATAGGAATGGAAACAGTTTCGGCGTTCAGAGAAATCTTTACTCTGCGTATTTTTTAGACAATGGTGTTGGAAATGATAAGTTCTTCAGAGCATTTGCCCAGTCTGAGTGTGACTATGGGTGTGTGTTGATGTGTTTATAGCAGTGAGTCTCATGCACTAACGGACAGTTTTCTTTTGTTGTCCTGTGCTCTCTACGCCCATGCTGCCTGCCTTCTAGCTTCCTGGATGTTCTCTGATAAGCTTCTCTTCTTCTCGCCTAGAAGAATCCATAGAAGCCCCTGGAACAGCAGATATTTCTCGTTGCCCTCTTCTCTGTAACGTTTTCATTTCAGACTTCTAGATCTGTCTTAGATCCTAAAGTACATGATCAAGATTTGTAAATATGTGTATATTTTATGCAGTATTAGTCATAGATGCCTTTCTTGAAGTAAAGTGATGTCCATGTTACAATGTAAACTTAAATAAGCTTGTAAAATCTATAGTTTTTTCCAGTTTGTGATCCGAAAAATCTATAGAAACTGTCAATATTTTTACGATATCGAGTTCACAGTATTTTAAGATTAGGAAACAATGGTGTTTTGCTTATTCGACGCAACAAGATTTATTTTTTCATGGTGTTAGGGATTGTATCTGCAACCTCCAGCACCATAGACAAGTTAGTGTCCCATCTGTGAACTATGTGTTGGGCCAGCCCCAAATGGCCCTTTAACTAATTCCACCTACATAGATGATCTCTGTTCTCTTACATTGTTTCTTTTAAGGTAAACTTTAAAAAAAAAACTACATAAAGTTACACATTCAGCCCTTATCAATGGCAGAGGATGTGATTTACTAAGATGCTCCCCTTCCATTGTATTTGGAAACAAATCACAGGCTGGCTCACCCTGCCTTGGATGTTTCCATAATGCTCTAGAATGATCTCCTTTGTAACGGAAAAGACTACACAGAACTGGGCAGTATCTGTTTCTAGCCTAAGCAGAGTTTATTCAACTTTCAATTGTGGTTTTCGAGTTACATTTGTTTTTGTTGTTGTTTTTTGGAGCTGAGTGTAGGATAAAAACCTTCTTTCCTAGGATGAAAAATTTGTTAGTAAGCCGTGGAACAATCAAATAAATCAGTGGGTTGATTGGTCATTCAGAGTTGAAGATGCTTCATTTCTGAGTTTTGTGTGCAGATGAGCTGCACACTTTTCAGGACTTCCTGGAACTTTAGTTTGGAGTCCCAGCTGTAGGTGTGGGTTGACCGGTGTTAGTGTCAAAGCCATTCATGTGCCTGGGGAGCAGCTTTGGTGTGAGGCTCCCAGGAGTGCCTGAGAGCTGTATGCATAGGAATAAATCTGGAGAGTCTCGCCACATGACTCATTCCTTTGATATTTAGTTCTATAATCGTTTTTGCTGACTTGTTATTCTCATTTTGTTTTAAATGGTATCATTATTCATTTTTTTTTTTTTTACAATGTTAGGACTTTCTTCATTTTCAGTGCATGGTAGGACTTTGTAAGTGTTTCCAATCAAATACGTAGGGTAGGCAAAACAAATTGAGTGTTAAGTTTCTAAGAATCATGTTGACAAATAGAAATAAAATCTATCTTAAAGCCCTTAAAAAATATGTCCATTTCTCTGGGTTTGAGTTTGTAATGGACATACTGTTTGAATTCTTTTTTTTCCTTTCCTTTTCCTTTCCTTTTCCTTTCCTTTCCTTTTCCTTTCCTTTCCTTTCCTTTCCTTTCCTTTCCTTTCCTTTCCTT